TTACCATTAGTTAAAATAGTTGCAGAGTCTGTATTTTCCAGGGTACCATATAATGTATATATTCTTTAAATATGTGAATTAAAACAAGAACTATAGATCCAACATATGAATAACATCTGCTACATATCCTAATAGGCCTCAGTGTCAAACTAGACAAATAATAGACATTTTCCACCAGGAAACTCTTAAGCTCCATTTTAGACTCAAATAAACACATCAATGTGTTCTCTGATAGTATTCTCATTCCTGGATTCTTTTTCTAAATTAGTTCGATATTAGATGGGAAGATGGAGACCTATCTTGAGTTGAACTTGAGACCTGTGGTTTGCAGGAGGAACAGGCAGGCCCAACCTGCATTTCTCAATTGAAAAAAAATCGTGCAAAAGCAGCTGGAGTTCAGTCTCTGAGAAGTTTTTGAGAAAACTTGAAAATGTATTACTCAGTGAAAAAGGCCTATCTGAAAAGCTACGTATGGCACGATTTCAATTATATGACATCCTAAAACAGGCAAAAACTTTGGAGACAATAAAGAATTGGTGGTTGCCTAGGCTTAGTGGGGAAGGAGGAAGCACAGAGGATTTTTAGGAGAGTGAAACAGTTATACATAACACTATAATAGTGGGCGTATGTCTTTATACATTTGCCCAAGCCCACAGAAAATAAAACTCCGAAAGTGACCCTAAAAGTGTGTCAGTGTAGAATCACCAGCTGTAACAAATGTCCCACTCTGGTGGGGGATGTTGATAGTGGGGGAGATGGAGTTTGAGGAAATATGGGAAATCTTTATGCTCTCTGCTCAATTTTCCTGTGAACATAAAATTGCTCTGAAAAATATAGTCTACTCTAAAAAAGAGAAAGCACTGGACTAGATTTGGTCAAGCTCAATCAGAGGTGATCTGCTGATGCTCACAGGTGGTGTAATACCAGGCTGAGTATTCTCCCCTGGGAACAATGCCATGCTGGTCTACCATGTCTTATCATTGTCTAGTGGTGCCAAGAAGGCCAGCCCCCCTAGACTGGGGATGCAGCTCCATGAAGCAAACAAATTTCCATCCCCAGCAGGGGCAGATCTGCAAACCAAAAAATGAGAACTTTGAGGTCAGGATGAGATTGAGTGTGAAAAAACGAAAATGTTCTTTTCTTTGTGAGAAGAAGGATTCTAGAATCAGAGAGGCAAGGATGTGCCCAGAGAACTGCTGGTGAAGCCCAGCAGTGAGATGAGGTGGTTTCTGCACAGGCAAGTGGATGGGTGTCAGTGAGGTGGCAGGAGGCCAGCCCTAGGTCCCTGAGCTGACAGCTGCTGTAAGTTATTCTTTGTGTCAACCTGCCTGCAGATTTGGCTCGGGGTGGAAGCTGGACCCAGCTAAATTGTGGGGAGACAATGCTTTGTGCTCAAGACATGCTCAAGACCAAGGCTGAGAGATGGCAGCAGTTGCCTCTCTTTCTCTGCTTCAGTCCTGAACTCCCGGGTGGCCTGAGGGACTGCTGCTTTCACTTCTCTCTTGTCCTGTGGTCTTTGTTTTCAACATCAAAACTTTCCACTAGGAACCCAGGAAGAAGCTTAAGGCTGCCAAAGGAAAACTGTTAACTGAAAAGCACCTGTATGCTTAACTAGGCTCTGTGCCTGCAGAGAAGGGGTGATGGCCCCTCCCAGGTGAATAAAATGTACAGACCCATAATAGCTCTTTTAAGTGACTGAAGCAGTATTCTGAGTGTGCTTATTTTTTAATATTAAGCGCTTTGTGTGTGCACAACAATACCATATTTGTTGGGTTCAACTATATCTGGAGATAGAAAAATCGGAATCTAAATAATCATCTAAGAGCAGCATTTTTCCCTTCAGAGTGTGTGTGTGTGTGCGCGCAGGCTCACATGTGCATTTGTATGCACATGCCCATGTGACACAGCAGCCTAGGAGTGGTGGTGATCTGGCACTGAGGAAGCAAACCTCCTTCTTCTTTTGTTTTTCTCAAGTCCAGATGAATGGATTGTTCTGGATGATCTAAAAGACAGAGGACAGAGCGGCCAGTGCTTGTGGTTTGTGGGTGTTTCCTAGAAAAAAAAAATCCACAAGCTGGGTGGCTTAAAACAACAGAAATTTATTCTCTTGCAGCCTGGAGGTTGGAATCTAAAGTCAAGGTGTTGAGAAGAATTCTTCCTCACCTCTTCTAGCTTCTGAGGAGTGCCAGCAAGCCCTGGCATTCCTTGGCTTTTAGACACTTTTCTTCAATCTCTGCCTGAACATCGTCACTTGGCTTTCTCCCTGTACATCCCTGTCTGTCTCCTGTCCTTCTTCTTCTTCTCATAAGCACTCCAGTCACACTGGAGTAGGCCCCACACTAAAACCCTAATTGTACCTTTATTGGTCCTGTTTCCAAATAAGGTTACCATCTGAAGTTTCAGGAAGTACATGAATTTGGGGGGACATGGAGGTAAAGAGTCAGGAGCGACCCCTGTACCAATGGAGCTTTGAGGATTTGGGGAAGAGACAGAAGGCTTTGTAGTGCCATGATTTGGCTGTATTTGAACTCTTGAGCAATCTGCGATTTGATTGCAACCCATAAAGTTGAATGCCATTGATTCTTTTGACAAAGATTTTTGGAGAATTGATCAGCAAGGCTGAGTGAGAACTTTCATGAGTTACTGTTGATTTGGGGAAAATCAGTGGGTTTTGAGATAATACTTTTTAAAAGACCTATAAAATGCTTCAAAACTCCTGGGCAAACACAAGGTGAGATATTAATAAAAATGTCAGAAAGAACACAAAGACAACCTTCCTAGGGTTTATGAAAGCAATTTGCTATATACCTCAGGAGAATTCATAGCAAGGAACAACACAGATGGTCATCTTTAAGGTCACTGTCTCAGATTCTGAATTTTTTCTCAAAAATAACTTTCCTCCAGGAACACCAGGGCAGCCCCACTGTATTCCAGCATGGCCATGCTGCCTGAATTCTAGACTAAGCTCCTGGGATTGGTGGTGGGAAAAGCCCCTGGCAGAAATCAATCAGAAAATGAGCCACGGAAGGTCTTGGGTTGGGAGTGGGAATATTAAGTAGATGGTGCCACAGTGACAGATATCCAAGCCCAGAAATAGTATCAACAAATGAAATAGCCAAGATGTGTTCATTTCCTAGGGTACTAAAACAAAGTACTATGAATAAGTAGCTTAAATAGCATACATTTAGTGTCTCATCTTGCTAAGGCTATGAGTTGAAGCTCAAGGTGTCAGGAGAATTACACTTCTAGAAGGTTCTATTCCAGACCTCTGTACTAGCTTCTGGTGGTTCCTTGTCTCATGGCAGCAAAGGGTGTTCTCCCTGTGTGTGACCCTCTCCAAATTTCTTCTTTAAGAATACCAGTCATTTTGGATTAGGAATTCATACTCCACCAATTCTTAACTAATAACTGTCCACCTTTAGGGATGCTTTTTCTAATATGGCCATTTTCTGAGGTCCTGGGGTCACAGCTTCAAAAATCTAGATTTTGTGGATTTGTCTACTTACGTTAACAGAGAGAGATCCCCCAAAGATTAATAAAGGTTTTCAAGGTATAAACACTGCAATGCAATGGGAAGATGATGTCATAGTAAGCTTTGAGCATATTCAGGGAAATAGAAGAAGACAAGTGCATGTAAAGGTGAAATGAGGAGGGTTATACCAATTCATTTTGAAATAATGATTCTTGGTTACGGGTCGATATCAAGGGTATTGTGAGTCCATGGTTGAACAGAACGTTGCTGGGCAGATGTTCTTGTAAGAAGCATTTCTGTGCGAGACTGTGATTCTGACAGTCTTTTGTGATAGCTCTTGTTATTTAAGCATATGTGTGAATGAGGTCCCTTCCTTCATAACTGTACAGCTTTATTTATTTATTTGTTCATTCATTCCATTAGGCTTGACACGGGTGACTCCATTTTGATTCTGATAACTTCCACAGACTCTTTGCATAGAGAAACCTTTCTTCAGACACTGCCTCCGAATGCCTCAGAACTTTAGGAGAATCTCCATCAGGGGGACCAGATTTATTTTTGCTACAATTTAATTGTCTTTTTCTTCTAATGCCTTTAAAGCAAATCCTGCTTCCTAAAGCTCACTAAGGGCTTCATCAGGTTAAGAAAATTCTGAGATGGAGATGCACAGTGAGATGAGGGGGCTCCCTTGCCTAGGCCTGAGGACTTCTGGGGAAGATCCCTCACCTACTGCCAAGTGACCGTGGTAGAGCTAACATCCTGGGAAGCCCAGACTTGGCTCTTTTGGACTGTATCCAGGTAGAAATTTCAGGATTTTCTTTTCAGAGACTCACAACTGCTTAAGAGATGAGAAGGAGAAGAAGAAGAGAATGATATAAAATTATTCTTGGGAATGTATCAGTTTGCTTCTCAGTCTAGCTGCCCCAGTGTGTTTACCTCCCCCAACCTAGAAGATAGCCAGGCCTTTGTGTTCCCAGCCTGCCACGGGGTGCCTTTGTGTGGCACTGCAGGAAGTAGCGGTTGCCAAGCACCGAGAAGATACCCCTCCTCCTGGCTTTTGTTTTGACTAGGCCAGGGCTGATGGAGGGGAAATTACTCTGCCTAAGAGGGAGAGAGAATGGAGAGAGTGCAGGGTTGAAAAGACCTCAGCCACTGCAGGAATGGGAGGTTTTGAAGAGCTCCATTCCAGAACTGGGAGGGAAATGGGGCCTTTGTGATTACAATACCTTGTCACTTTGAACATTTGGGTGAGGGGAGAAGGCAGAATCTCTGTGGATTGGATTCTTGGTTCACCCACAGAGGCAGCTCCTCTCTCCCCACCCAGTCCTTATAGAAATTAGAAAAAGATGCCCCAAGACATCTTATGCCAGGGATGGTGTGCAGATTACAGACTAGATTTGGTTCCCACTGGCTCCTTTACCTACACAAAGTTACCAATCCTCCTCTCTCCTGCCAATCCATTGCAGTCATTTTTAACTCTTTTCTGCCTCCAAGGTCTGTAAGTAAACTTATTTTTTTTTTTTTTTCATTGGTATAAAATGCTTTATTGAAACTTAACACATAATACATAACAATGAGATTACGAAAATACAGAAGTCAGCCTAGTTATCATAGTTCCTTTGGCCGGTTGAGGCAGCTCAGTGGCTGAGCCAACCTGCAGGCAAGAGTTCACTCCGACTTCAAGATTTGATGCTGATTCTTTTGGATTTCTACAATTATTAAATCCATGTCTGAGTGGTCTGTCTTTGTTCTTTTGTGTTTTGAGGGCTGGCTGGGGCAGGGGTAACAGCTGTTTTTGCTGGGAGAAGAGCAGAACCAAATGTCTTGGCCTTCTGCCCTGAGTTCACAGGGAATACGACAAGTAAGGAGAGACTGGGCCACCCCCTGGCTAGGCCTCAGGAGGTGCTTCCAGTTAGGTTCTAAGGTTGAGGAGGTAGAAATCAGCATTTTATCCTTGTCCCTGTGGACTAGCATCAGTCAGCACTATCTAAAGTGAGATCTGGCTGCAAACTGGTCATCTGAAGGTAGACACGCCTAGACACCTCTGGCCCAATACGGCGGGAGGTGGACGTCACTCCTTCCCCTCGGCGCACCTGTATGTCTGCCAGCAAATTCTGGCGTTCTTGCTCCGAAAAACACCTCTGATAAGCCTGAAAGCAGTAAATGATCTCTTAATGCTGTACCATCCCCAGCTGTCCTCCATCCATGAACAAAAGGGTGGCAGGCTTGGTCTGGGGAATGAGAACCCAGGGTCCCTCTGGGTCAGCATGAACTGAGCCAACCCACACTGCTGACAAACGGCATCTTTGGGTCCTCAACAGGGCTGTTCATGGAAGTCATCTGGGGGGCCCTCTGAGGCCAAAGCAGGTTAGGTGACCCTAGAGCAGCATACCTCTACCAGGAGCCTTGGGGAGGGATAGGTATCCACAATAGCGCTGGCCATTTCCAGGCTGACTCGGTTCAGCTGCTGAATCTGTCTTCTCCAGACTAGTGCCAGTCCCCTGCCAGTGCGGTCTACCTTCACCCCTCCAGCCCAGTCGCTCTCCAGGCAGAAGGAGAAGCTGTTTTCATCTCGGAGTGTCCTGCAGATAACAGCTGGGAAGCTGAGCTGCTCATTAGTCCTACACTTGTCCCTTCAAATAAGGACTGAAAAGTCCAGTGACCTGGAGGTGGATACAGTGTCATATCTGGCCAGTTTGAGCCTTCAATGATTTGAGCAATTACTTCATTTCCAAGCACAGTGTTAGTTGTGGTTTCCCTTAAAAAACTATAACTAGTCCCTTTCATTACTATAGAAGGTACCAGATTCTTCTGCTTGTAAGCTAAAGGAGAGTATTTTATTTATTGGTCCTGGGGACTGAACCCAGGGGCACTTTATCACTGAGCCACATTCCCAGCCCTATTTATTTATTTTTTAAATTTTTGATGGTGTTGGGGATTGAACCCAGAGCCTTGTGCATGTGAGGCAAGCACTCTACCAACTGAGCTATATCCCTAGCCCCTCTCTTTATTTTTTGATAGGGTCTTGCTGCTGAGGCTGCCTCAAACTTGTAATCCTCCTGCCTCAGGCTCCTGAGTTTTTGCTAGGAAAAACTAGCATGGCTGCAAGAATTATCCTCAAAGGCAAGTTCCTACATGGAGGCAGCAGGCTATTCTGGGGACACTCACTTGAAGGGTGCCTCAGCCACGGCCTTTGTGAATGTGCAGGCGAAGTCAGCCAGTTCTTTCCAGCTCTGCACAATCTGAACCTGGGCTTCGGTATGTAGCTGCAGATCCACCAATGCCTCTTCCACTTCTACCCTGGACACCACAGGCCCTGTGCTGGGCTCTCGTCTCTGCTGCTTCTCCTTGGCCTGTTTACTTGACGCTCCCTGTTTCCTTCTCCTTGGAGGATTCTGAGCCCTGAAGCATTTCTCATGATCCACAATCACCAACGATACAGCTTTCCCTGCTGTCTTTGCTGTGACATCAGTTACAAAGCCTTGAAGTGTGTCCTTCCCTTTTCTGGCACTGCCTGGACTTCCCTGCTTAAAGTTGCAGATCATGGACATAAAAGCTTCTGCCAGGAGTAACACAAGGACTGTCTGCTCCTCCACCCAGTCCTCTTCATCCTCAGCCAATCCTGCCCGTCTCCTCCAAGTGATACTGCAAGGCACAGCCTGTGCTTCAATTGCACAGCAGCACTCCATGGACTGCAGAGCTCCCAGGAGCTGGCCCCCACCTTCCATCTGTAAAAGCACTGGATCCAGCACCACAACGATGTGCTTTAAGCATTCCTCTGGCCTCTGGGCTTTCAGCCTGTTGACCAGCGTTGCCTTCTTTTTTTCCTGTTGTCTTGGGGTGCTTTCCTTCTGGCCTGCTTTTTCCTGCAGCTGGCATCTCTGCAAGTCTCTTCTTGGAACATTCTTCCTGTGCTTGGTTCTCTTCTGGGGCTGGGGGACATCAGAATTTGTTTTGGTTACTTCCAGGCTATTGTTCTGAACAAGGTGGGTAAACTGGTAGGCTGGAGGCTGAATGCATGGATTGTCTAAGACAGGGTCCTGGTTACCTAGTACACTCCTCTTTAAGGTAACATGGAGGGGAACGTCAGGGATCTTTGAAAAGGGCTGTTTTTTCCAGTCACTTGATGCTTCTTCATTATTTTGATGATTCAAAACACTTTTAACTGGGGAACTAGAGTGTTCAGAGTTCAACTGCTTGTAGGTCAAAAACTTACACTTAAGCCTCTCAGCTAGGGGAACAAATTCCTCTTCGCTCTCACTTCCACTACTTAGTACTCCGACTGGTTTTGTTTGTGTGAGAGTTTCATCAGTGTCTGAGACAGGTGGTGGATCTTTCAATCCTGGTGATAAAGGACAGGAGGCCTCAGAATCTGAGGAGTCAATCACTACAATCTTCTCTGCCCTTTGAGGCTGCCTCCTCTCTGTTGAAGATGGTTCCTTCTTCAGAAAGGAAAAAGTTGGCAACTCCTCGGAATCACTCTCACTGGATTCTAATGACTTCATTACAGCCACCAATATGTGCTTTCAAATTAATTGCCTGCAACTTCCCGCGCCACTCTTTCAGTAAACTTATTTTTACATTATCAATTTTAATGGAGTCTGTTTCTCCAAATCTAATTAACTCATTCATGCCTGTGAGACGGGGCAAAAGACAGGTAGCTGGTTGTCAAGGAAAAGGAAATGGGTAGATAGCACTCCCCTTCACCTGGTTGCTAACAACTTCCACAGGAGGAGAAGGATCACATTTTCCAACACCAGCAAATCCACCTCATAGATGGCTGCTTTCCTGCCCTTTTGGTTACTTTTGGTCACACAGACAAGATAGGAGGGGGGGGACATGAGAAGAAAGAAAACCTAAAATCTATACAGGAGCAGGACATCCCTACACCCTCAGGCACCAGCTCTGGACCCTCTCCTCTCCAGAGGACTCTCTCTCTCTCTCTCTCTCTCTCTCTCTCTCTCTCTCTCTCTCTCTCTCTCTCTCTCTCTCTCTCTTCTATCCTTTAAATAAAACTTTTTGCCCCTGCCTCAGCATTTCTTCAGTGTTTAATCTTCAACACGGGAGGAACAAGGACCCAATCCTGATTTTCATTTGGCCTATAGATTAATTTTTAAAAACTAGTATTCACCATGTAGCATTTATAATAGTTTGATTATGAGTATATTATTCACTGTAGAATTTAATTAAACAACACAGTTGTTACACAGCTGGGGTCTTCCGAAACTGAGGCAAGGTGAAACTCTCCCTTCAAACCCTAATTCTTGTAATCAAGTGAGAAAGATTTCAGATTTCAGACATGTTCCTCAGAGTAATAGGATTAAGTTTATTGAAGAGATAACAAAAGGGAAAGGGGATACTCTCAGAGAGGAGAGAGACAATGTGCCTTTCCTGCACTTCAGTTTTATTGGGGATCCCAGAAAAGTTTCCAGAGAGTCCTGCCAGGTCTAACTCTTGAATTTTGAAGCAAGAAGACATCAAACTTTCAAGTACCCACTGCCATGGCAACTTTAGGTCACCTTGGCCCTTGCTGACTGGTTCTAATTGGATTCTGAACTATACATTCTTACAGATTTTGTGGTTAAGAGGAACTACCTTTATCTTCCAGAGTTCCAGGATCTGGTCACAGAAGTCTCCTGGGTTCCTCCCATTGACATTATCTTGGCCTGCATTCCTCCTGCAGTTAACAGGTGGTTTACAGAGGAATGTGACTTATCCTGTCCACTGTGGCCAGGCAGGGCTGCAGGTAAATTGCTTCTTGGAAAAAAAAAAAAAAAGCATGTAGGGGTCAGCATAATGGGCCCATTTTATGGAATTATTCTGTTAACCTCATGTTCCCACCATCCTCATCTGTCTGTTCCCTACACTATGAGACTCAGAAATGTACTCTCATGTCACTAAAAATTGTGATACCAGAAAAAGGATATGACCAAGTGTAGAAGTCAAATAATTAATCTCCTTACACTATATCAATTGCTCAAAATTATACACTACATTTTAGATTGTTTCATATTGAAAACCTGACTTCATTATAGGTAAGTTTGTTTTTCTTTTACTTTCTAATTGCCATTTTTTTTTTTTTTTTTTGCTAAGAAAAGCATATGCGTGTGGCTGGGAATATGGCTCAGTGGCACAGTGTCTGCCTCGTATGCACAAGGGCTTAACCCCCAGCACCACACACACAAACAAAAGCATATGCCTATCCTTTTCACAAATGTCACTTAGCTTCTTAATGATATTTGTCAAGTGAATCCATTGATCTTCCTTGATTTTTTGTTTTAACTTGGGCAGGTTTTGCTTTCTATGTCTGCTACATAATCTTCATCATTGTAGAGACAGATGTGAGTGGTGGGAGCAAGGGGTTAAGGGAATAATTCTATAAGTTGGGCTCATAGTGTGGACCCTCACATGCTTTCTATTTTAAAATAAATTTACCTGCAGTCCTGCCTGGCTTAAGTCGAAAAGATATGTTACAATCCTCAGCAAACTACTTATTATCTTAAGGAACAGTGCAGGCATAAAATGCCAATAAGAACACAGTTACCCTGAAGGTAGAGACTTTTGTGACCCTTACACAGACCAGATACCAGAATTTAGGGAGATAAGAATAATTGCCCCTAACCATAAAATCTGTAAGAACAAGTTTCAATTAAAATCAGTCAGCATGGGCCAAAGTAACTAGAGTTGTCCTGCATAGTGGGGACTTAAAAGTCCTCCGTGGGACTCTGAAAATTTCCCTGGACCCCTGAATAAAACTGGAGGGTAGAAGAGGTGTGCTATCCCTCTCCTCTCACAGACACTCTCCCTTTAGTGTCCTCTTTACTCTTTTCTATCCCTTCTAGTAAACTCATGCCTGTTACTCTGAGCAATATATCTAAAATCTTTCTGGAATGATTGTAAGAATCAGGGTTTGAGGAGAGATTTTTGTGCTGCCTTGGTGTTGCAGAAGGCCCCAGTTCTGTAACAACTGGTTAATCAGCTCTTTCTTGATCTCTATCTTCTTTGAATTCATTTTAACTTTTGCTGAAATTTGCTCCAATATTTTTGAAGGGTAATTGGTAGAAAAATTTCTGAGTTATTCATGTCTGAGAATATCTTTATTTTGTCTTCATGTATGAGTAAAGATGTGGGTTGGTATATAAATCTAGATTAACAATAACCTTTCCTCAGAAATCCAAAGGCATCCAATAATAGGACAAGAAATTTGATGCCATCTGATTTTTATTCCTTTTGAAGACATCATATCCTCTTGCTGTTCACTTCTCAAACAATTTTAATCTATTTTATGTTATTATGAAATTTTATATCTTAATATGAATCTTTTCCCCCTCCATCAATTAATATTTCTAAACATTTTCAATCTAAGGCTAGATTTTAAAAAATATTTTAGCAATATTATTGGTATTTTTTATTTATTATTTCATTCTCTTTATATCTCTATTTTTCTATTTCTGGAACTCCCATTGACTAGGTTTTGGATTGATCTCCAAAACTCCAGGGACTATATATAGGGGAGATAGATAGATAGATAGATAAATAGATATATTAGCTATCTATTGCTGCATAACAAATCACCATAAATTACTTTGTGTATAACCAGAGATATGGAAAATTGTGCTCTATATGTGGAATATGAATTGTAATGCATTCTGTTGTCATCTATAACAAATTAAAATAAATAGAAAATTACCACAAATTTAGCGGCTTAAATATTACACATTTACTGCCTTTCAGCTTCTATTGGCTGCATCCTCTGTTCAGGGACTCAAAAAGTTGTGGTCAAGACATCAGCTGTGCTGCAATTTAATGGGACAGCTTGGATGAGAAAGATTCTGCTTCAAAACTTGGCATAATTTGTTGAGAGCCACAGCCGAAGGGGCCCCAGCAAACTTTCAGACTGCCAGCTGATGATTGGCTCACAGCAGCCCCAGCAACATCTAGCTGATTGGCTCCTCTGCGGTGATGCTCCTTGGGCTGTTTCCCCGCCCTTTCAGACTACAGAGCTGCTCATTGGGGGACTTTTTTGGCTCCGCCCACGCGACCCAGCCAATCAGCCTCAAGAGCAGGAGGAGTGGGGGAGGTTGAGAGGCTTGTGGGAAGCCGGTGGTGGCAGTTGGGCTCTGAAGGTTTTCCTGAGGAGCTGTTTTGTTTGGCCTGTGTGGTTCTAAAAATAAAGTTCGTTTCTTTTGACAAGTGGCTCCTGAATTGTGCCCAGCCAGACTGTGGCAATAATTGATTTCTTTGCAGCTACAGGATGGAAATTCCCAGCATTTTGGAGGTTGTTGGTTAGAGGCTGCCATCAACTCCTAGAGGCCACCCTCAGATCTTTGTCATAGCATCCTCAAAATGTGGCTGTTCACTTCTTCAAAACCAGCTGGGGAAAAAGAGTCCCTGGCACTAGTTTTCTAGAAGAAATGATTCCAGAGAGAAAGGGAATACTAACTAGAGCAATGACCTTCCATAAACAAAAGGGGACAAGATGTGGTACATAAGTGGAGAGATTGGCCATAGATAGGTAGGAACCTAGGCAGTTTATCCATAATGAAAGAGAGAGTGGTAATTGAGAATTGAGGTTAGTAGCGGGAATAAAGCTTCCTTCCCACTGAGATGTGGAGAGAAGGAATGATTGACCTTGTCCAGACTTCCTTATAAATATGTTAATGATATCTGTCAGAAAGACAGTCAGCCACCAGGTGTCAAAATGATCAATTAAGACATCTTGGAGATATATAACGATCCACACCAACATGAAGCAAAATAAAGAACTTTTCAGGCATGCAGAGCTGAATGGACAAAATTAACTGTTTTTCCTCTATTAATCTCTTACTACTGCATCTTTACTTTTGACAGCAGATAATGTGGATTTTTTCCTACAGTGAGCAATTTTCCCATCCTTTCTGGACATCAACCAGGTGTCCTACAATTCAATTCAATTCTGACAGTATCTTCCTGAAGTTAGTACAGCCCCCACAGATGTAGGGCTCAGTCCCACAATCCCATCCCCCTCTTCAGATACCTGTTGCAAGTCCAGATCTCTACTCTGATCTCCTGGTATAAATGGAAGTTCCAACAAGCTCCTCCTCAGTTTCCAATACTTGTTAGAGTAGCTCACTGAACTCAAAAATAATTTACTTGTTGCAATTAATTTTAAAAGGTAACTACTCTGGAACAGTTAGATGGAAGAAATCAGTGTAAGGTATGTGAAAGGGGTTTACGGAGCCCTCTGTGGGTGTACCACCCTCCAGCACCTCCATGTGTTCAACAGCCCAGAAGCTCTGCAAACTCATTCTTTTGGACTTTTATGGAGACTGCATTACAAAAGAGAGATTGAGTATGTCATTTTATCATTGGTGGTCCAGTCAATCTTTAGCCTTTCATTTCCTGTGAGAGTGGGGCTGAAAGTTCCAACTCTAATCACACGGTCACCTGAAAACAGCCCCTTTCCATCTGTAGGGGCTTTCCAAAAGTCACTCCACGAACATATACTCAGGAAATATGGGCTTTTTAGGAGATCTGTGCCAGGATCCAGGGATATAAATGCTGGTTTTCTACCATTTA